CACTTGTTCAATCTGTCTGCTGAGCAAATAATTCTAGAAGCTGGACTATATGTGGAAAAAAATGTGGAATCAGATAGGACAAAGATTCACTAGCAACTTACATTATGGAGACAACAAAACTTTTCTGTACTACAAGTTAAGAGGATGTGAAACACTTGTCACAGAAAATTAAACTCTTCAAAATGAATTACATCTCAACATCAGTAAGACAAAAATCCTCACTACTGGACCAACAGACAACATTATGACAGATGGAGAAAGACTGTCAACAATTTCATCTTACCTGGATCCATAAACCCCCTTGGTACCAGCAGCCAAGAAACAAAAGATATATTGCTTTGGGAAAATCTGCTGTCAAGGCACCAATGTGCTAAAAAGCAACAATGTCAGTTTAAAAACTAAGGTGCTATTCACTTCTACAACACATATACTGAAACTGGAACTATACAGAGAAGATTAGCATGGGCCCTGCTAGTAATACTTGAAAACTAAGGTGTACCTGATTCAAGTCATGGGTTGTTTTATGTTTTGGGGTGTCCCCCCCACATACCTGCTATGTATCTGAAAGTTGGGAGTGAGAGTAAGGATGACAGAAGGACTAAGGTGCAACCCAGTGATGGGTTCGAGTGATGGTGCTGAAGAATATGCCCTTAACTGCCAAAAGAACAAATATATCTTGGAGATAGTTCAACCAGTGTGCTCCTTGGAGGCAAGGATGACAAAATTTTGTGTTACATACTTAGGCCGTACCATTAGGAGCAGCCTGTCCTTGGAAAAAGACATAAGGCTTGGAAAAGTGGAGGGTCAATGAAAGAGAAAAAGACCCTGGACAAAATGGGCTGACACAAAGACTATGCCAATGGGCTCAAGTATATCAGAGATGGTAAGGATGGCACAAGGTTCAAGTCCATTGTTCATAGGGCTAGGAGTCATGATCGACTAGATGGCACTTTAGAAAAATTACTAATTTTGCAAATCTTAACAATTATGGCTAACATAATTTGAAAAGAATGGAAATACTGGAACCCTTAATTGCGTTCATGGGAAACCTTCACATAGTCCAAGAAGTTGTCCAAACACAAAAATGGAACCCTACAAGGTTTAAGAAAAAACAAAAAAATAACCAAAAAAAAAACACACATCAGGGCTGCATCCTTTCTCCATACTTATTCAATCTTTATGGTGAACAAATCATTCCAAGAAGCTGGACTATATGAAAAAGAATGTGGCATCAGTATAAGAGGAAGACTCATCAGAGACCTTTGTTATGGAGAAGCAAACTTCGCTTGCAGAAAACGAAGGAGACTTCAAGGTTGGCAGAAGATCAAAGACTACAGCCTTCAATATGGGTTACATCTGAACATCAAAAGAACCAAAATTGTCATCCCTGGACCAGTATTATAATAGATGGAGAAAAGACTGAAAATGTCAACAATTTTATTTTACTTGGATCCACAATCAACACCCAGAACAGAAGAATCAAGGAATCAAAAAATGTGCTGAACTGGGAAAAATCTCTTGTCAAAGATCTCAAGTTCTAAAGATTAAAGCTGTTAAAGACTAAGGTGCACCTCATCCAAGTGATGGAATTTTCAATTGCTTCATATGCATTTTAAAGTTGGACACTGTGGTGTGTGTCAAGGGTTTATAGTTCAAAATGGCTTTCCTGGCAAAGGACCTTGACTTTCACAATATGAGAGGGAACAGAGTGTATATAATCATTATGGAATTGGTCAGTTTCCCCCATCCTACCAAGTTAAAATTAGTAGATTTAGCAGAGAAAATGGGATTCTCAACTACCCATAAGGAATAGAAAGTATGGAGTATAATGTACTTACTTCCTTTGGGGCCAGACACCAGGATCTACATAAGAGCAGTAGCAGCCTCAGCAGAGAAATCAGACTAACATGAGACAGAGCTGAGTTGGGAACTCTGCGCCAGGAAACCGGAGCCAGAGCTCTGTGCTGAAGTTTTCTAGAGGACTATGGGAAGACACCATAACAGGCAAGACTAAGGGAATTTTTAGAACACTGACCCAAGACATATAAGACTGAAGATCAAAGTGTTAGTGAAAACATTCAAGAAGTTGTCTGGACTGAGCAGTTGTATACATGAGAAACTGTCTAAATTGAGGGATTGTATCCTGCTGCCAACCTAAATTCAGCCTGCTGACATGTCTCATAAACACTGTAAAGGTTGGTATGGTTCTGTGAGATCTAGGTAGTCACTGCAACATATTTTGGACCCAGCAGAGCAGTAAAACTAGTGCTGGAATTAGAAGAAGTAGGTACAGGAGTATGGGAGACCATGCCTTATAGCAATCATTTTTGTACTGTATATACTGTTGAAAGGGAAAGTTTCCTTTTTGGAATTAGCAGAGATCAGTTCTGGCCATCCTTATCTGCCTACACTTGTCTTATAAGAATGAATAAGGAAGAGAGAAGCAATAATTGAAGAAGGTAACAATTATAAAAACCTAAGTATTTTATTCCAGCTTTTCTGTCTTATCTAGAAAAATTGACTCTTAAAATTGAGAAATGTCATCTATGCATTTTTACAGAAATTTTTTAACTTCTATTTTTGTCAATGATACATTTTAATGACATTCTGTGCATGTTGTAAGTAATTAAAAATCAAAGTGCTTTTTTTCTTCTTGAGTATCCAGTTGTTCCACCAATGGTTTAAAAACTGTTTTGGCTGTTCTAGGTCTTTTTGCTTTTCCACTATGAATTTTAGAACTGGCAAGCCAAATTTCTTAAAACAACCTGAAATGGTATAATAGAAATGGTATAATAGCATTTTCTAAATTATTAATGATTTAGCTTTCAATTTTTTACTTTGTAATTTTCAGGGTAAAGGAATTCCATGTAGCTTGTTTATGCTCATCCTCCTATAACTGCCAAATGTTTCTTGCTAGAAGACTGAAAATGGCATTTATTTTTTTTCCCAACAATGACCCTGATTCTATTATAGTGTCAAACTCATATTATTTCGAATAGTTATCTTCTAGGTTCCTTTCTATTTTCTATGTAATTAATCATGTTACCTACAAATAAAGAGGGCTTTCATCTCCCCTTCCTCTTGTTTTTCTGACATAGTTATGAACTCCAGAATAACACTGAAAAGAAGTTGTGATTATTCTTTTAATTTTGGATGAAAAGCATTCATTCATTCATCCTTAAGTTCAATGTTAGTTAGGTTTTCCATACACGCCCTTTATTAGGATGCTCAAGATCTCTTCTACTACTGGTTTGTTGAAAATGTTTGTCATTTGTGGGTATTTAGCTTGGATAAATGTTTTTCGGTATTTCTAAAAAGAGTACATTTTTCCTTTATTCAGACAAAACAGTTACATGGATTTATCTTTTTCCAGCTTATTTTTATTGTTGAGAACATACATAAGTAGAATATAAAAAAAATTACATTTAATTCATTATGTATAGCACAAAAATAATAAAGAGATCTTAAATAAAAACATAAATATGCACATAATTCAGCAACATTATATTCTTTGGCTTCTGTATTCTCACTCCTCTTCCAGACTTATTTTTCTCCTTAAGTTTCCTACCTAATCTTGAGAGTTCCTGTCAAGATTGATCCTTTTTTAATAAACCTCAAAAAAACACAATAGTTAAGGCAAAAACACTCCCCTTAAAAGTTTGAATATTCTAATCCTGTCATTTGAGTCTGTGGTTTTATTTCTGGGAAGGTTTAAACGATGACTTAACGAGAATCTATTTCCCTTTAAAAATCTGTCTGAGTAATGTACATTTTTCTAAATGTGTTTATGTCACCTAAGTTGCATATATTATTTGCATAAAGTTGTTCACAATTCCTTACTTTTTTTTCATATCTATACTATCTGTAGTGATATTTGTACTTATGTTCCTGATACTGATAATGTGTGGGGTTTTGTTTTCCGTGATCAATTTAGCTAGATGCTTATAAATTTCCTTGATTAAAAATATCCTTTTATTAATTTGTCACTATTCTTATCTGTTTCCTATTTCATTGACTGCCACATCTAACTTTTTAATTTTGTATGTGTTTTTCTTTTTTCCAGCTTCTTAGAGTGGAAGCTTACAAGTAGATTCAAACCCTTTCTCTTCTGTAATGTAGCATTTAAAGACATGAATTTCTCTCTAAGCATAGTTTTAACCATATCCCTTTACATCTTGCCAAGGGTTCAGCTGGAAATTTAAAGTACCTAATAACTCATTTTCCACAAAGAAACAGAAACAAAAGATCATCAGCAAAAGAAAAACTTCAGTACCAAATGAATGTACCTTATGCCCATGCTCCTAGCAGTAAATCAGGATTTCTTAAACTCTGCATAGGATCATCATTTCTGGGGCATGAATATACTGACAACTGGGACTGATCAATAACTTGTAGGCTAGTTACTTCAAAAAAAAAATTTTAAAAATTGCATTTTATACCACCATCAGTGAAGTATAAATCATTATCTATGTTTTAAATAATATATACTTCTAGAATAAACCTGAATATTAAAAATATGAACACATATACAGTAAATTCAATGTGCACATTTTAACACCCAATACAACTTGTAATTAATGTAATTCTAATATAATTACTACAACAGTGAAGACCTGATTGCAAATTATTAATTCTGAACCACACAGATTATGTCTGCCAAACATATTAATTGCTATTTTAACCAAAATGTAAAGTTTATAATGGGCTTGGTAGCATATCATTTAAAACACTTGGCGGCTAGTCTCAAGGTTAGTGGTTCAAACCAACTGGCCACTGATGGGAAAGATGAAGCAAGCTTCATCCATAAAGATTAGAGCCTTGGAAAACTTATGAGGCAGCTTATTTTGTTCGACTGGGTTGCTAATAAAGGACAGTGCACTAATGTTGAAACTGAATTTGTTTTGCCCTGGGTCCTGATTCATTAGTAAAGATAAGAGAAAAAACTATACACAGATTTAGAAGGGATGAGAACAATGGGAAAAAAAAAAAGCTAAGCCTACCTTGATCTGCTGTCTTCGTAGCATGGCAAGTTCTCTCATGTCTCGGAACGGCTGGAGTAAATACTGATAGAGTTCTGTTGTGGCTTCTGCAAGGCTACTGTAGGCTTCATCTTCCATCTGATACAAGTCCAAAAGTTCCACCATGCTCTCTATATTTTTGTGCTTATCCAAGAGCTGTGAAAGAAGAAAGCCTCATTATTAAGAAAGCAGATGATATAACCAAAAAACCTAGCTTTCTATCTGCCTCTTGGAGCCCTGAACCACAGAAAGCAGAAGAAAACACCCACTGATTTTATCATTCATCACTATACCCAGGTATCTCACGACTCAAGGTCACTGCATGACATCATTCTTTTAAAAATGTTTTTAACATATTATTCCTGATCTTAGATCTCCTTATTGCCTGCCAAAGGAGCCCTGGTGGTGTCATGTATTATGTGAAAATATATATGTATCACGTTTTCACCTGCTATCTGAAAGGTTAGTGGCCTGAATCCTCAAGACCTTCCCTCTAAGGGTGGAAGATGGGCAGTCTCTTACAAGATTTATGGCCCTGGAAACACACTGCAAGATTGCTAATCATCAGAATCAGGTTTGGTGAGTGAAAGATTCTGTACTCTGTTCATACTTCAACTTAATTATATGACCATACTAAAGTGGTGATCGTGTTGTTCTTTTTCTACCTCAAATATCTATGGTCAGGGACCAGTAAGTAACTTTAACATTACATGTACTCTTAGAAGATACACAGAACCTCAGGGTCTCTTCTAGATCTATAGAGTCAGAATATACATTTTAAGTTGATCTTTGGTAATCTTCTAAGAACACTGTTTGAGAAATTCAATTCAATAAATTCTTTAATGTTTCCATAATTTTTAGACCTACTGGAACATCATAAAGTGTTTTTAATCTGAAATAATTTCTCATTTGACTCTCTGACTATACCTACTATTATTCTACATTAGTTCAATTGGTATTAAACATCTGAATGAGAAAGCTTTGATGGATTAATCCACAGTAAATTGCAACGGTAATGTGAAGGTCACAGTAGTTCAAATCTACCAGTAACTCCAAGAGAGAAAGTAGTGTCATCTGCTTAACACAGCTTGATGAGTCATCCTGATGTCACATTCTTCTTCATATAGTCCAGCTTCTTGAATGTTTTTCTTTGCATCCAGATTGAATAGGGATGAAGAAAGGAAACAACTCTGACACAACTTTCCTGATTTTAAACCATGTAGTGTTCCCTTGTTCTGTTTGGACAACAGCTTCATGTTCTAGGTGTAGTTTTCACAGGAACACAATCATGTGTTCTGGGGTTCCCATTCTTCTCAGTGTTAACCACAATTTGTTAGGATCCACAAAGTCAAGCCTCTTGCATAGTCAATAAAACACAAATGGACATCTTTCTGATATTCTTTGCTTTCAGCCAAGATTCATCTGATATCAGCAATGATATCCCTTGTGCCACGGCTTCTTCAAAACTCTCTGCTGATTTCTGATTTGAGAAATTCAGTTCTCAAAATGCTCAAAATTTCAGGAAATTTGGAGGACAGCTACCTCGTCAACCTACTATAAGAGAGCCATATTTGTTCCCATTTCAAAAAAAGGTGAACCATGAGAATGGAAATTACCAAACAGTATCATTTCTTTCACAACCAAGTAAAATCTAGCTGAAGATTATTTCGAAATTGTTAGGCCTTTGAAAACCCTATAAACACTAAAGAAAGATAATAGATATACAGAATGAATAGGTATGGAAAAAGGTTACAACCCTGAAGCATATCTTTCCCAATTTTAAACTATGCAGTGTTCTGGAATTCTCTTTCAGCCAGGATCCTTAGTTACAATGAATTAATTTTCTCTGACAACCAACCAAGTCAAATAGGTAAAAGGTATAATGAGTTCACACTAATGACTTTTACATTAATAAAGAAATATACTCATAAACGGAAATGCAAAATAAATCACAAATTTAAATTTTCTTACTAATGACACCAAAAAAAATTGTTTAAAAAAAATATACTTCATGTTAAAGAAGAAACTTTCTGTACTTTTGGTGGGAATGTCAAGTGGTCCATCCTAAAGTCATCCATATCCAATCAAAAATATGCCATTCCCTTTTAACTTAGTCATTCCTCTTAAAGAAATCTGTCCTACAAACATACTTGCACATGTGACCAAAGATAGTTTTAAAACAGCAAAAGACCAAAATAACCTTATCTACTAGACACAAACTGGCAGACTCTGAGAAGAATGGGAATTCCAGAATATTTGATTGTGCTTATGTGAAACCTATACTTGAATCAAGAGGTAATCATCAGAACAGAGAAAAGAGACACTGCATGGTTCAAAATTTAGAAGGGATGTATTCTGTCTCTATACCTTTTCAATCTGTATGAAGAACAGGTCATTTGGGGCACTGGACTGTACGAGAGGAATGTGGCATTAGGATTGAGGAAAGATTCATCAACAACCTGCTTTATGCAGATGACACAACCCTGCAAGATTCTCACCACTGGACCAACTGACAACATTACGATAAAGAAGGAGATTGAGACTGTTGAAAGCTTCATCATTGGCAACATCATTATGGATGGTGAAGAGATTAACAGTCTTAGTTTGCCTGGCTCTACAATCAACACTCTTGGTACCTACAGCCAGGAAATCAAGAAACAAATTGCACTGGGAAGTCAGCTGTCAGGGACCTCTCCAGGGTACTGAAGAGTAGCAACGTCAGGCTGCAGACTAATGTGTGCCTGGTCTATCTAGGCCATAGCCTTCGCAATTGCATGCTATGCATCAGAGAGGTGGACAACGACTAGAGATGATAGAGAATTGATGCCTTTGAGTTGTGGTGCTGGAGAAGAGTGTTGAATGTATACCATGGACTGCAAACAGGTCAAAACAAAGGGAAGAAATGAACGTTAAGATTTCAGAACGCAGCTCGAGAAGACAAAGCAAAGTACTATAATAAAAAATGGAAATATCCGGAGTTAAAACATTTTTTTAAACAAGACTACAGTCTTCAATTTCAACATTAATGAAAATCTTCACCACTGGACCAACAGGCAACATTTTACAGATGGAGAAAAGATTGAAATTGTCAATTATTTCAACTTGATTGGATCAACACTCAACACCCTTAGTAACAACAGTCAAGAAAATAGGAGACATACTGCACTAGACAAGTCTGTCAGGGACCTCTCCAAATACTGAAGAGCAATAATGTCAGTTTGAAGACAGAGGTGCGTCTGACTCAAACCATGGTCTTTTCAGTCACTTGATATGAATCAGAGAGCTAGACAATATATAAATACAACAGGCTAACTGATGACTTTGAGTTGTGGTGGTGAAGAGTACTGTATATCCCACAGTCTGTCAAAAGAACAAACAGATATATTCTGGAAAGGGTGCAACCGGAGTTATTTGGGGCAAGGATTACAAAGCTTCAGCTTTCATACTGTAGGCATGCTGCTAGGAGAGGCTATTCCTTGGAGAAGGACATCAAGCTTGGAAAAATGGAGTCAGCCAAGGAGAGGAAGGTGTCCAGTGAGATGAACTGACACTGTGACTTCAGCAATGGGCTCTAGTCTCTCAGAGATGATAAGGATGGATCAAGATTAGGCAGGTTTCAGGACAGCTGTTCACAGGGTCACTATGAGTCATGTTCAACTCAATAGCACCTAACAACTCTGCCAAAAGAACAAACAGGTATGTCCCAGAAAAGATGCAGCCAGAGTGCTCCTTGGAGGCAAGGATGACAAAGCTTTGTATTTCATACTTTTGCATGTAACTAGGCAAGGCTATTATTTGGAAAGGGACATCATGCCTGGAAAGATGGAGGGTCAAGTGGAGAGGAAGACCCCAAAGAAAGTGGATTGACACTGTCACTTCAGCATTGGGCTCTAATGTCTCAGATATGATGAGGACTGCACAAGATAGGGTAGGTTTCAGGATGGCGGTTCATAAGGTTGCTGTGAGTCATTCTCGATTCAATGACACCTAACAACTACCCTCAAATTTTTAAAACTGGAAATTTTTTTTTTTGAAACTGCAATATGGGAACATAATACATTCTACTGAAAATTATGCAAAAACGTTTGGAGCAATATGTCAACAGACAAGTGCCAGATGTGCTGGCTGGATTCAGAAGAGGTAGTCATACTAGGGATATTATAGCTAATGTTAGATGGATCTTGGCAGAAAGCAAAGAATACCAGAAGAATGTCTATATGTGCTTCACTGACTATGCAAAGGCTTTTGACTGTGTGGATCACAAAAAGCTGTGGCTGACTCTGAGAAGAATGGGAATCCCAGAACATTTGATTGTGCTAATGT